AAAAATTATACAAAAAATAGAAATTTTAAATAGTTTATTTGATACTAATATCAATATATTTTTATCAAATTTTTATGATATATTCAAATTTATATTTTATTCAAAAATAAAAATATCATCGCAAAATCGTATAAAACCATACTATAACATTGATTAAGATAAAAATAAAATAAAATATTAAAATCAAAATATATTTCATTGCATTACCATTTTAGTAATTTTAATTTTAATTTTAATTTTATTTTTATTTTTAATATAAGAGTGAGTGAGTGAGAGATAAGAGTAGAGGTGGGAAGGGGTCTGGTCAAAGAGAATGGCCGACACCGTCCATGTTGAATCGCAGGAGTATGAATGGACCGACCGCCGGCTGTCAACCTCATACGATTCTCGGGTCGGGTGATTGTTTGTTGAATTTATGCCAGTCGCCTCTCCTGTCTCTTCATTCCCTATCCTGAATCTACACCCTCTTTACAAGACATGAGTGACACAATCAATCACTCCTTTCTTATTTATACCTTTCATTTCATATTACTATTTTCATCTCTTTTCGATTTTCCAACCTTTACATTAATTTTATTTAAAAGTTTTTCTATTGCTAGTTGTCAATGGCATAAAGGAGTTGATTTTAAAGTCAATAACTTTAGATTTATTTATTTTTATGTTTATATATATATATGATAAATGAAGTATAGTGTTTCAAAGACCTAACGAGTTTTTTGTAATGATTTATATTTTTATGTTAAATAATTTTTATTTTATTTTATGATATGTATGTAAGTAATTATATCTATTAATCAAAATAGAATAAAGGGTTAACATGAAAGTTCACATTTTAAGGAATGAATCTATTCCTTCATGTTTGGAACTTGGAAGTCCTGTAATTTCTTTTTTTTGACTTTTGAGATAAGAAAACTTTTGCGTTATTTTAATCCATTTTATAATACAAAATAAGTTATATATATATATATATATATATATATTTATTAAAGAATTGATTTAAAGTGAAGCTGAATTAGAAATATTTTTGAAACAAAAATAGATCACTTTATGGAATTAATTGGTTTTAAGGTTTGACCCCACATGATAAACCAAACAATTTTAATGGCCCAATCTCCTATTTTAGTTACGTTTTTCTTTATTAGGTTTGTCTTTTATCTTTTGTCGATCATATTTAATATTTTTCTAATTGATGTATATAGATTTAAGAAATTCCCATTCTAAGTGTTTGTTTGGTTCGTGGAGTTTGAAGGAATTTGTATGGAATTTGAATGACAAATTTCATGGACTAAATTCCAATTCATTTATTTGATTTATTTCTTGAAGTAGATAGAATCTTCAAATTCCATTAAATTTTGTAAATTAATGAATTCATCGTTACTTAGCATAATGGAAAAAATTGAATTCTATCACCACCCATCACGATCATGTTACTATTGTTCGTCATGCCCCACCCCTAACCCCCCATTTCCACCACACCATTACTGTCACGGCCACCCACCCTACCTTACCCCCACTACTAACCACCATGGCATTACTGTTGTCACATACTCACCCACCCCTCACTCATTGCACATCCCTACTGCAAACCATGATACTACCGTTACTATCATGCCCCTAACCTAACCCCCACCACCATATCATTATTGTTGTTGTCACAACTGCCACTCACCCCCACCGACTCGCCCCACCCTGCATGCCCTCAACAATCTCCACCTATGGAACATGGGAGCATGAGTGGTGGGGGCAGGGTTTGAGTAGGGATGGGGTGGGGTGATAGCTGTGACGACGACAACAGTGACGTGGTGGTTGGCAAGGAGGGGACAAGGTGATGAGTGACATAGCTCAAACAAAGACGATAGTTCCAATCTATTGAGAAATTTCATTCAAATTTTTACTTACCAAACGCGCGCTCAAATTTCATCAAATTATATTCCAATTTCTTTAAAGTCAAATTTCTTTGATGAATTCCTATTCGATCAAATTCCATTATGTAAACCAAACACCCCATAATAGTTTTCTATTTTCAAAATTTACACCACGTTTTTATTTATTAGATTATAACATTTGATAAAATTACTAGCGTAATTGTTAGTTCTCATTAATACACTATTTGCATATATCCTTATTTGGCAATAGTTAGGTATTTACAAGTCAATCCTTTTACTTTTTAGGCAAAAATTTACACATATTTTATCTTAGAGGTTGTTTGACAGTTGCTGAATGGTTTGATGCAGAATGATTAAGTGGTCAGAATGATTAAGAGACTTTCATGATATAGTACAAAATGAAATATAATTGTTTGTTAATTATTTACAATGAAATCAGGGAGCTTAATGGTTAAGGAAGACTTAGAATACAAAATTATTCAGAGGATTTTAGAATCATTAAGAGACAATTTTTTTTTTTGCCAAACAAAATTCACCTCTTAATGATTCACATGTTGCCTCTTAATCGAACTATTAAGAGGTAAACAAACAACCCCTTAATTCTTATATTTTTTAGATGGAATATATTGAACTATTAATTTTACGTGTTAAAGATGTACTAAATGCGAGATATGGACCAAGGCTCCTTAAATTTTTGGGGGTCAATCTAACTCAATTACATATGTTTTAGCCTTAAGCCTAATTATTCAAGTTTTAGCCCAATTTATAAGACTTTTACTTCATTTTTATTGTTTTAATTTACAATACTTTTTAATTTATAATATATGGTATAACTTTTATTTTTCTTATTGATTTTTTACCTGTACAGTAAATCCATCTGATATAGATGTAATAAGACCTTTTAAAAGATTAGAACAACTCTAATACATGTATATGTATACATAGGGTTGAGTTTCAGTGAGAAGTTTAAGAAAATATCTTCATTATTGAATTAATCATAATTGAATGTCAACACTAATGAAATGCATCATAATACACCAGATCATTTCCATCTAAGGCACAAATTATAAGTGGATATAAAATTAAAAATGATCAAGGATTCATATCTACTTTTATGTTTCTTACCATAACTTTTCTTCTTACACGATCTTTCACCGATGTATATATACATACATATATATACATACATACATACATATATATACATACATACATACATATATATACATACATACATATATATACATACATACATACATACATACATATATATACATACATACATATATATATATATATATATATATATATATACATGTAGGTATGTGTTCGTTTTGGTTACGTATCTTTGTTGTGTGGGGTGACGGAGAAAGAATGAATCATGGGTGGTGGGGGCTTGGAAGAAGTAGGGTGAGAATTAGTGGAAAATTTTGACAGTCTGACAAATGATGTTGATTTTTCCTTTTTTTTTTAATTTTCTAAAACTAAAATATCTTTTTTCTGATTTAAAACTAATTTTACTTTATTCATAACTAAATGTCGGTTAACATCCGCAAAACAAGAAAATAATAATAATAAAATAATATTATAAAACATTTGAGATTGTTTATTTAAAATAAATTATTTTTTTTATAAAAATATTTATCAATTTACTATAAATTAAAATAATTTAATTTTTTAAAAAAATATAAATTATTTATCAAAACACTCAAAAATATTTATAATCGGTTTCTAAAACAATCCCAAACACCCCTGGATATTTCTCGATTAGATCAAAAGCATAAAGGTAGAGAGTTCAGAGTGGAGAGGATAATTACAGAATTAAAATTAAATGTCTATTATCTTCATTTGTAAATTATAAATATTTTGTTACAATTTGCGATTACTGTACTTGCAAACAAAGGTGGTTGATATTTGATATTTGATAGTTGATGGATGAATCACCTATCATCATCATCATCATCATCATCGTCTTGCTTTTCCACTTTTCTAAGTTTGTTTTCTGATTGATTTTCTTCAAATTCAAGCTTGATGAATCAACAACGGCATCGTCCTCCATCCAAGAATCAACTTCCTCAGGTACATTTGTTTTTACTTTATTAAGCTTTTATGCTCATCCACCGCCCTACAAATCATCCATTGTTTTCATCAAATTCCGACCAAAAGTTGTTATCTGCTACAGTTCTGTAGCAGATAATCGGATAGATGAGTTGTGGAAGACGACAATAAGATCTGTCAAGTTATTCGGTGCTGGTTGTGTGTTTTTATTTACTACTTCAGATTTCTAGTTTTAATTACTTGAGGACAACTGTCGAGGCGTTGCGCTGATTTTTTTTGTTTCGGTTGTACGTGCTTGCAGCATTTTTGGCCAAAAAACGTTATCCGGAAGTGGCTCAACCGTTCTGCTAAAAGTTCAGAATACAGCGCCGATCCGGAGGACGACGATAGCTCCTGCGATTCCGAGGGTGAAGGTCAGATTCATTCGTTTTCCTACTACAATATCTGTATATATTGATTCTACTCGGTACTTGTTGGATCTCTGAACTGTTAAACTCAATATCATCTGCTAACGTTGGAGCACCTTTGATTCTATTCGGTACTTGGTACTTCTTTCATTTTCTAAATCTTTTGATTCACAAGGATATGTGTCACAGCCATTCTCGTTCTTTTGTAGAGAAGAAACCAGATTTGTCATCGAGAGGTTTTGCTGATAATCCCACGTTTCGCACAATCAGTTTGCTAATGGGGGAGTAAATTTGGATTATGTATGCATAACTAATTGATATATACCCAATTTAGTACCAAAACTTCTTGCTCCTATCCCCAGTGTTGCCCAATCAATTGGCTAATAGGGAGTAAATTTGGATTATATTTACATAACAAATTGATATATATATACCCAATTTAGTACCAAAACTTCTTGCTCATACCCCCACTTGTCCAATCAATTGGCTGATGGGGAAGTAAATGAAATTTATATGGATAAACTGATTGATATATACCCAATTTGGTTCCGAGCACCCTAGCTAACATGCCCACACACGTGCGCTCACCTTACAAAGTTTCTTTGCATGTTCCTATCATACATATCTCAGTGACTCAAACTGAAGCCAATTGGATAACGAGTGGAGCAACATCATGTCATATATGCTGAATATCAATTGTTGGAAAAAGTGGGTTGTATGCCTATTTTGGGCCTAAAAACCAATCTGGTCCAAGCACAAATTGGAAAGATATTGTGGGTTTATGTAGTCCTACGTGAGAGCTTCATTTTGATGCATCACATGTACAAAACGGAGTTCGGGTGAATGAGAAATTGATTCTCGAAATGTTACGCTTGAGATGAACATTGTGGGTTTGTCAGATTATTGTCCCACGTAGGTGGGAAATAGAAATGAAATTGGATTCGTATATTGATTTCAAGTTGCAAAGAGTACTACATTATGGCTAGAATGCTTTCTCCATGGGTGAGGTTCAACCAGACAAGTTTTGCTACTTTCTGAGCAAATAATTTTCGTAACTACATATTTGTTCCAGTTAGTTATGATTGCAGAACTCCCAAAACATTCGAACAATTGATTTCATGTCCAATTTTATATAAGGACACTGTAGATAACACAAGCCTCGACTCAAACCTGCATGTCATATTTTTTACTGTTTTCTTTTTTTTTTTCCTTCCTGGTTTCACACGTTTTCTTTAACATAGAGTTGATGTATACTTGATCTTTGGCCGACACTTCTATTGCAATACCACTTTAGCTAATTATAGGAACTCAGTTATGGTTTTAATTTGATTTGTAAGATTTTGTTTTTACAGAAGAGTCCTGTGACTGGCCAAAAGAGTCACGGATCAAGGATAAACAAGGAGACGAATTCCAGAATGGTCCTAAAGGTAAAAAGATAGTTTGTGCTTTTTGGTTTGCTTCTAATGAAGTAGATTCAATTACTGTAATGACATTTTTACTACATGCTTCTTTTCGTTTTTTTGCATCAACATTTTGATTCATAAGCTTTTTGTTGCCTCCCCTTAACTTTTTATTGGTGTCTCAATACTTTAATTTGTTATTTAAGAGACCATGTGATTTGTTGTCTGTAAGGAATGCTACCAAGTTAGCATATGCATTGACAAAAAGATTTTGCACTTGAAAGAGGTCTTAACCTATTGGTCAATCAATACTTTAATGTGTTATTTAAGAGACCATGTGTTTTATTTAGTTCAAAGAATGCTACCCAATTAGGCCTATCTGCATTGGCTAAAATATTTATGCACAATCAAAAAAAGGTCCTCAAGTCATCGAGAAATATTCATGATTTTGAACTTATTTTCATAAGGTTCGTTAAAGACGAGAAATATCTATGGGACTATTGTACCTCTTCATCATATGGTCTTCAGATACCGTTTGGTCGATATCACATGCCCTATTAAAAGCAAATGAAAAGAGCAGACTTTGAAGTTTTTTATTCCTTTGGAACTTTGTTTCCTAATGCAATAGGCTCTCTAGATTAGGATCCCATTGATGCACAACTCCATGAATGATTGTACTTAGAGATTCAAACTACTACTACTTCACTTATCTTTTTACAGTTATTCATCTTTATAACTTAATAGGAAATTTTAGCTTGTCCTTGGTATAACACCATCCAATTTGTGCAATAATTCCTATGATTGGGAGGCTTTTTTTGGGAAATAGAAAAGAAGTTAGGTTTATGTTTGATCAACAAATTTGTAATATTTTGTGGTTTGTGCTACCTTTTTGGGTCATCAGGAGCTTTTCCCAGGTCAAGACGACGAAAGTCAGAGACATGTAGAGCACAGTACATTGAGGCAAAAGAACTCAAGTGTGGTGGCCTTCCCTCTCAGACATGATTAACAAGTATTTCTGTGCTATTTAGCTACTGTTAGCATCAGAGTGGTTGATCTGACACCTTGTATTTCTTTTTCTTGCTTTCTTTTATGTGATAGAGTATCTGCTAACACTTGGAATGTTGGAGGGAAATTTCCGCCAGAAGATTTAGATATCAAACACTGGCTTAATGTTGACAATCCTTCAGACATATATGTGATTGGGTAAGTCTTTTCTGTTAAATAATGTTTTGTTGCTTGTTTCCGACTTATCAAAAGGTATTTATCCTTCCCTGAAAGTACTCTTGTGTTTCAAATGCAGATAGATTCTAAAACATGGTTATAACTATGATTTGATGTATAGAACATAACTAATCATAGTTGCGATAGCAGTATAGTCATGCTAAGTTTATAGGGCAACTGGTGTGCACCAAGGCTCATTGGTTTCACAAGGGTTGGGTGTTGGGGGGAGGGGGGAGTTTATGCACCCTTGCATTTTGCGAAGACACTATTTCTGTGATCTAACATTACCAGTTTTTCTAAGGCTCTCTCTTATGGGATAGGCTATGAGGTAGAAGAATCTGGATATTATATTTTGGATTCTTTATCTGCTGTCCAGAATAATGATCACATTCATACTTTATGCTCAACCATGAAGTTAATTCCTTTAATTAATTGAATTCTTTGTTTTCTGGTCTTTACTCTTGGTAGAATCATTTGGGTTGATTGTATCCGTGCAAAAGTTAATTTGAATCCGTATGTTTCCTGTACAGTTTTCAGGAGATCATACAGTTAAATGCTGCCAATATTTTTGGCACTGAAGATAATCGTCCAATCCCAGTATGGGAAAACATCATTCGTGGAGCCCTTAATAGAGTTCAACTGGAAACGACAAAATTCAAATGCTACAGCAACCCTCCTTCTCCATCAAGGTTTCAACCATCTGATGATGCTCCAAACATAGAAGATGAAGTAGTGCTAGATAGTGACAGTGAAGGCGAGGAGGAAATCCACCCATTCAATGAGGAATCCAACTTTGATGAGCTCATGGATGGTCCAGCAGGCCTAAATGTGAAAATGAGCATGGAAACTTCTGACTCAAATGATAATTTGCTGGCAAGTATGCAAGCTAAAGGGAACTTAGAGAGACGGTTCTCATCTCCAAAGAGACTGGACAGAGTAAATTGCTTTCCAACTGAAGATTCTGAAGAAAATGTAAAAGCATCGGCTCCCGCTAATAGTAGAAAGTTAACCAGAATACTTAGTGGGACTGAAAGGATAGGCTTGTGCTGGCCAGAGCCACCATTGGATCTGCTGGCTCAGTGTGTATCAGAGAGACCAAACACCTTGAAAACTGTTAAATCATTTAAAGCTTCTAAATCTTTCAGAAACTATAGTACTTTCAAGTCATATATGAATACCGACAATCGAGTCATACCAGAGGAAGTTTTTCTGGCAGAGCTGGAGCTTGATTCCGCCATGTACCGGAAAAGAAGATCTCCATATGTAAGAATAGTAAGCAAGCAAATGGTTGGCATATTCATCACCGTGTGGGTGCGTAGACGCTTGAGGAAGTATATCCAAAACGTGCACGTCTCAGCTGTTGGTGTTGGTGCAATGGGGTGCATAGGTAACAAGGTCCGTTTCTTTCCCTTGGATATTTTTTGAATTAACTGCCGTCTATTTCTTTACTTTCTGTATCATACTTTTAGGTTGTTTGCAGGCTATGTGAATCTCATTTGATATAAAACACTGTGCATATTGTTCTCTTTTATCTCATGTAAATTGACAAATTTTCACTCTTTCAGGGGTCCATATCAGTGCGCATGTCAATATATCAGACATTCTTTTGTTTCATCTGCTCTCACCTTACATCTGGTGAAAGGGATGCTGATAAAGTTAAAAGAAATGCAGATGTTCATGAAATACATAAATGGACTCGTTTTAGCTCGATTTCAAATTCTACTCTCCCAGAGAGGATATACAACCATGAGTAAGTATGGGACATCTCGCCTTTACTTGTTTTTCGATCTCATAACTAACATTGATGATGCATGCACAAATTTTCATTACAAGCAACAACGTCCATAGTGGAATCAAGTTATAGTACCTTATTGTTTGCCCGTAATTGGAATGCACTGGTTTGTATAACTGTTATAATCACTGCCCACAGTTAAAGCATGGTGTCAGGAACTGGAAAACTATGATCCCTTTAGAACCTCTGCATGTTGCTTCTCCTTGTAATTATTATTTTAGTAACCTTGTGAACAGTGAATAATCTGATAGTAAAGGTCTTGCCATAAAAAAGCTAGATGAATAGTTGTTTTAATAGGAGTTGGATGTACATTTCCTTTGTACATTTCTCAGAAGTTGCAGGCCAGTTTGGCCATGACTGTTCTGTTTCATACCCACTTGGAATATTTATTGTGGGCTCTTGGTAGACCCGACCATAAAACCCTAAATTATCGTTGTTTTCTGGCTATAATACAAAGAAGATGACCTGACTGGGTCCATAAACTGTTTCGAGAGGTTTGTGTATACAAAAAAAAGGAGAGCCAACGTAGAAGGCTCCTCAATGTTGTGAGTTCCAAATGCTGAATGAATCTAATAGCACCTCTGCTGGTAAAGCATTAGGGATAAACGTACTGAATTTTTCTGGCAATGCAGATCTTATGTAGACTGTAGTACTCCTGAATAAGATCATGATAGGTTGCAAGAAGAATAATCTCTAGCTTGTAACTATTCTAATGGATGGTTTATTTCAAAGTTATATTTTTCTATCGTTTGAAGGTCATCTTACAAGCTTTTGTTTGTTTCCAGTCGAATTATCTGGTTGGGTGATCTCAATTACCGTCTCAATACATCATATGAGGGGGCAAGAGAATTAATTTCCAAAAATGATTGGCCCAAGTTGTTAGAGTGTGATCAGGTAAGTTGGCATAATACTGCTTTACATCTTTCCTAGATATTGTGTTGTGTACAAGTTTTAGTTACATTTGCTACTATACTTCTTGTGCTTTCTCTAATCCACCGATGTAGTTTCAATGCCAGCGAGTGATTTACAAAAATATGGATTGTGATATTTCTTGCAGTTAATGCGGGAGCTAAAAAAAGGTCGTGTATTTGATGGATGGTCGGAAGGTGTTTTAGATTTTCCACCAACGTACAAATACGAGCAAAATTCAGAAAAATACTGTGGTGAAGATCCTAAAGTTGGAAGGCGAACTCCAGCATGGTATGCATCTCAAAGCTCTCGTGTTGAACCTTCCTTCTCATTTCCATTATTGCAAGTTTGATTTAATCTAATCATGGTATGTCTAAACTACCCTTGAACAAGTGGTATAAGGGGTATTCCATTGAACAAGTTGTAATTGATGTGGGATCCAACTATCTATGTGTATCCCACTAACCACATCTCATTTGTGTTTGTTAAGAGTCCCACATGGACTAGATTTGGACCATTTTTCCTCGATATATGTTGGAATCCCTTTTCTCTCCTAAGATCTCTTTTCTAGATTACAACATATTCTAATATGGTATCAGAGGCAAAGTCTACCGTTCTAGGGACTCGACACTCTAGGGTAATCTGTACTTGTCTAATCCCTCTCAACACTCGGGGTCAATCTGTGCCTATCTTGCCTCCATTGACTTGGTGTGTTGGAGTTCCACATGGGAAAGATTTTAGACCATTTATCCACAAGATATCTTGCCCCCCATCCTCTCACCTGGAAGACAAATGGTTCTTTTGGAGAGTAAATATGGGGGTTCAACATATTCTCGCAGTTTTCTTGAATGACTTCCTTTTTATTGATCTCCAATTTGTTCAAATGTTTGTTATTCAGGTGTGATCGCATACTTTCATTTGGGAAGGGAGTAAGACAGTTGAGTTACAGAAGGACCGAGAATAAGCTTTCTGATCATAGGCCTGTGACTGCAACATATATGATAGAAGTCGAAGTTTTCTCTCCAAGGAAATTACAAAAAGCCCTCACAATCACTAATGCAGAGATTGAAAACGATGGTATCATCGCAGAACTTGGAGTAGACGGTGAAATTAAGTGCTTAAGATTAACAGAGGTTAGTCATCTAATCATCTCTAAACCCACCCAATAAATCTCAAGTAAATTTCATAATCAAAATTATGACACTTGCATGGACTTTTGTTCTATGGCAGGATGCATATTGGTAGTTAAGACACATGCACAACCTCAAATACGTTACTGAGTTGAGTTGACTCGGGCTTTTTGGATTCAGTCAATTCTTTTTTTACTCGAATCATTTGTTACAGTTGAGTTTCATTGGTTGTCCTCAAAAGGTGCTATTTGTGTGTAAATTTGTGGTAAATTTGTGGTGTTGTATAGTTCTTTTTATTCAAAACTAGGTTAGCAAAGAAAATTACCTTTAATACTCCAGAAAATGTTATTTGCATTCTACTGTTTTCATGTACTTGTGGGCCCTATACATCGTTTTTTGAATTCTTGGATTGCAAATAACATTTTCCCAATAGTTTTTGGTCGATGATTTTGTTTGTAGTGGGCGAAGTTGGATCGTTGTGTAGCACAGTTTTGTAAGTAATACATGATTTGTGACTCGGTGTTTGATTGGATAACGTTATGACGGAAGGAAAGGATCCAAGAGTATGAGCTTGATGTTAGTAGAAGTGTGTTATTGTTCATGATCAATTGTTTGTTACCTTGTTCCCCATTTGTTGTATTTTTGAAATCTGAAAATAAAGAGATGAGCGATATTTGTCAAAATCCTTGTTCATTTGGTAACGTGTGAATACTAAAATTCTTGAGTGTTATTTTCTATGAATTGAATTATGTATTTGAAATAAATCATATTAATTGTTTTAATCATTAAAGAATATATATGAAAGATCACCTAACTATTAGACCAACTTTTTTTTTATTATGCCATAAAAGTCAAGACCACACCATTAGAAGTAAATATTATATATATATATATATATATATATATATATATATACTATCTTATAAAGCATTTGACTAAAACTCTTAAAAACTCTTAGGGTGCGTTTGGTTTGCAGGAATGTTTCTGAGGAATTTGGATTCCCAGGAGGGATTTGGATTCCATGGGATTTGGATTGGATTGGATTTAAAATCCATTCCTGTGTTTGGTTTGCAGGATTTGGATTGGATTTGAAATTCATTCCTCTGTTGTATCATCAACTCCACAGACGATGATAGAAGCAAGAAAGTGAGACTCATACAAATGTGGTTCACATAAGTAAATCTAATACCGGATCAATTACGAAACCTAAATAAATGTTACTAGGAATTCCTAATTAACATATGCAAATCTACAAAGTCAACGAGGGTAGATATATGTTCGTACATTGAAAAATAAATAGGATGCATATTTGGGAAGGAGACATGTTAATCTTCAAACGAGGGCAGATATATGTTCTTACCTGCTGATTGATGAGAGAAGGCGGAGAAGAGGAGGAGAGAGCACCGGCGATTACAATGATGAGAGAAGGCGAGAGCAGTGGGGAGTTAGAGGAGACACCGGCGCGAGCAGTGGGGAAGCGGACGAAGAGGAGAAGAGGAGGAGAGCACCGGCGGCAGCGAGAGCAGTAGGGAGGTGGAGGGGACACCGGCGAGAGCAGTGGGGAGTTGGGGAAAGCGAGGATTGCGTTAGGGCATGAAGCGTCGAAGAAGAAATGGTTTGCTCGGATTTGGATTCTAAATCCAGCCTATTTTCAAAGGATTTTCAAATCCCTTGTTTACGGGATTTTAAGAGATTCCCGGGATTTTAAATCCTGGTAACTTGGCAAACCAAACACGAGATTGGAATGGATTTAAAATCCAAATCCCCCCAATTCCATACATTCCTGCAAACCAAACGCACCCTTAAAACTCTTAAAAACTCTTAAACTCGTTCATCCTTAAACGATTTCATCTCTATCCGATTTCATCC